AGGAGGCTATTGCATGCTGGTCCACAGTTATTACTGGCTTCCATTAGGGAATCTTACTGGCCAATAGGAGGTCGCAATTTGGCAAGATTATGCTATCATAATTTCGTTCTGTGTCGACGATTGAAGGGTAAAGTCGTCACTCCCATTATGGGTAACTTACCTTCAGAACGCCTTCGTCCAGGCTATCCCTTTGAGAGCACTGGTGTTGATTACGCCGGGCCTATCATGTGTGCCAGTCGTCAAGGCCGTGGATGCAGGCTAGTAAAGGTGTATATCGCAATTTTTATTTGTTTTACGACCAAGGCGATTCACTTGGAGCTTGTTGGTGATTTATCTAGCAATAGTTACTTACTAGCTTTGCATCGATTTATTTCTAGAAGAGGTAAACCAAGTAATATATTTTCTGACAATGGTACCTCATTTGTTGGTGCGTACAACGACTTATCTAAGTTCTTAAAAGCTAATAGCTAGTCCTTGGGTGAAAGTGCGGTGAATGATGGAATAAAGTTCCATTTTATACCCGCATACACTCCACATTTCGGCGGACTCTGGGAGGCAGGAGTGAAGTCAACAAAATATCATTTGCAAAGAGTGTTGGGCAATTGTAATTTGACATTTGAAGAGCTTTACACTGCACTCACTAAAATTGAAGCGGTTTTGAACTCTCGTCCATTAACGCCATTATCATCAGATCCTGTAGATTGTACTCCACTGACGCCGGGTCATTTTCTTGTTGGGAGACCCTTGACTTGTTTACCGCAGCCTGACTACCGGAATCATTCTATGAACCATCTGTCTCGATTTCATAGAATAGAGCAACTACGCCAGCACTTCTGGAGCAGATGGAGCAAGGAGTATGTATCCGAACTGCAGGTGCGGACCAAGTGGCACTCCTCCAAAGATGCTTTAAGGCTGAACACCTTGGTGGTGATTAGGGAAGACAATCTTCCTCCTTTGAAGTGGAGACTAGGACGAATTGTGGCTGTTCACCCAGGAACAGACGGTATTGTTCGGGTAGCTGATATACAGACGTCTACGGGAGTCATTCGGAGGGCGTTCAACAGGATCTGCCCACTGCCCGTGTCTTCAGATGAATCTTGTTGAAACCAACGCTTTCAAAACCCGGGGGAATGTACGAGCGCCTGATGGATATACCATAGCAACGACGTGTGCTTAGTATAATGTTAGCTATTAAGTAATTGTATTATTTTATTTTGTATGTACCGACGCTAATCTCTTCACTTGCTGTGCTGTACTCGCTGAGTTAACACCTCATTAAATTCTACTTGCTGAGCATTCTTTTGAGTCTTTTCCTGCGAAGCCCTGGCCAATACAACTGATGTTTACAGTTTTAGTGGTTTCAATAATAGATATATGTACATATATATTAAATTATTTAATTTCTGTTAGTATTTTACTGATATAACGAACTTTGCCGACTATTATTTAAATGAGGACTACGACCAGCGCCATCTCTAGACACAACTTGAAACTATATTTTTGAAAGAAAACAATGATGGTTTTGGTTTCTCACTGTTTATTTTTCACCAGAGTGCTTCCTGATTTCAAATAATTTATAAAGCGTAGAAGATGGTAAAACGTTATGTTAGGGCCGATGTTTCTTACGCCAGATAAATCTTAACTGTCCTCAGTTAACCTCAAATAACTTTAAATATATGACAATTTGTCCATACCAAAAATTGTCAAATGTCAATTTTATTCCACGGTCAATAATTAACTGATGTTTGAAAAATCGGCCCTGAGTCGGTACATGATATAATTAGGATCCTATATTATTTTTTACATCAAATACTACTATTATAAGTAGCTTTCACGAATATATTGTGGAATGCTTCAGTTATGCTTTAGTGTTTGTTTCATGTCAATCGGTTCATAAATAAAAAAGTTATGTCAAATTAAAGAATCACGTCGTGAGTATATATTTAAAAAAAAACGCTGCTCATAGTCACTATTCCACGCGAACGAAGTCGCGGGCACAGCTAGTCTAATAATATACCTAAGCTTTCATCACAAATCGAGTAGGTATCGATCATATTCAATTACAATCCAGAATAGCGGCTACTAACTACGTGTCAGGTTAACATGTAACTCGATTAACGTTTCAACATGGCGAGTGATCGGTATGAGGACTGAGGGTTGGCGGGATGGCCAATCAAGGATACTCCGATAACTTCAACATTATTCGACAACACATGCCAATCCCGCAACTTCACTCACGTCATGACTCAGTTTTTCAATAAGGGACACGAGTGTCTTCTTATGAGATTCGGTAGCAAACGGATCACCTGATGGTAATCAATTCGGTACTTAACTTAATCAAAAATAAATGTTCAATACAATAAAATGTTAGAAATAATCACACTTTTATTAATTGATTTTATGACCTACTTAGTTTTAGTATTTTTTCAGCAATTTTTTGAGAAATATGTATGTTGTTTGACGCTAAAAAACGTGACGTCACAATACACAATCTCGTACAATAACAAAATTCATAGAAAACTATCGTTTTTGACAGTTCGAATAAAGTATTGAATTTGACTAGTTGGCAAGTACTTAATTGTCGCCGCCAATGAATACTCGAAGTCAGTTTTCAAAGTTTTAAGGATGTGGAAATTGCAGATTTCCAGAATAGGGATGGGGGGAGAGAGAGAAGATTGGGCATGTTAATCATATTATGAGCACAATAAAATTTTACTGAAGTCATATTTTTTGCAAAACATGCACCAATTCGACATGATAGAACAAAAAAGTTTAAAAAACAGACAGAGGCGCCATCTTTTATCGCCAAAGTAAAAGAACGAACAGACAAATGCTAAAGTACATTTACATTACTAGTATGTAGCATGGTAGAATCAAATGACGTACAGCCTATCTTAGAGATACCTAATTGGAAATTAATTGTGTACGCATCCCGGTGCAGTGTAATTGGCAGGTAATTGGTATGTCGAAACTGTAGACCACATGCCTCATGTAATCAAGCGTAGATGGCAAGGAGATTGATATTTAGAATACCTACATACATATGTTGATGTATGTACTAACTACTACTATCTACAATGACATTTCCTAAAAATGGGGTGTTTATATGTAACGAATTTTTAATTATTGTGTGATCTATTACCATATTTCATGTATAATCGGTATTGTCAAGAATTTAAAAAATCTAGTCTTGATTTAATAAAGAGTCATTATAACCAACTGATTTCAAATTTTGTCAAATAAATGAAGCAGTGAAAACAATTGAAATTTTAAAATGAATGTTACATAGATAGATTCAAGAATTCTCTTTTCCACCTAAACTCCACAGAATACAATGTATAAAGGTAGTCAAAGTCAAAGTCAAAATCATTTATTTCAATTAGGCCAGAACCAGAATGGCACATTTGAACGTCAACAAAAAAAAAACTAAAAGTGAAGCTATGTAGTTTAATAGAATACAATATTAACTGAACTACGAACCTTCCTCCTAATAGATAATTAGTTTCACAAACGGAAAAAACCAAACCCAATTACAGACAATATTAATTTCAAAAAAAAAAAAATACAGTAAGGTACCTAATTAGTAAATCTTTCCATGGTTTTAGGTTTCTCTATACCCACGATATAATATTTTTATCTGTTTTCACCCTTATTGTTATTTTGATTACAGAGATTCTGATATGAATTGGTTTACTCGTTAGTCCGATGTTTATTTTTTTTGTCCGCCCACATACGAGTATCACATGTTAGTTGTGGCACGTCAAAACGCGATTTTATAAGATTCTGCATCAGATATTGCAACAAAGATTATCGCCATTTTCCTCACTGAAATGTTGTTTTAATTTAGCATCAGATCTTTTTTGAACAATAGACATTTTTTGAGAGATAGTCAACGAACCAAATTTATTATTATTAAGAATTATAAAAAATGTTTTTTATTTAAACTACGGCTAGTAGTTTTGAATACCTATGTTAAACAAAATCATTATGTGATCACACAATATCAAAGAAAAAGAACATATTTTTACAGTATATAGGCCCAGAAATCGTAAGTAATTTTTTTTATGGCATAAGCCGGTAAACTAGCTGACGGATCATCTGATGGTAAGCAATCGGCGTCGCCCATGGACACCTGGCACACCGGAGGCGTTACAAGTGCGTTACCGGCCTTTTGGGGAATTAGGAGTTTGAAGATCGTTGGGGATTCAGGAATTGGGGAAATTGGGGAAGGGGAGGGTATTTGGGCCTCCGGTTTTCTGTGAGGCCGTGGTATCACTCCGGTCGAGTCGGCCCATTCGTGCCGAAGCATGGCTCTCCCACACATAACTTTCTAGTTTTATGGCCCAACAATGTTTAGACGATATCCTCATGATTGTTTTTCAAACTATAGTTTTTCTCTTTGTATAATTGACACGCAGTATTATGTTCTAGCCCCCAGCCCTGAAGTCTAATTAGTAATGTTTACCGATCACAACTACTTGTAATATTACATTACAAAAACATGTTGTTTTTACGTACATTTTCTTGTTATTTTTTTAGTTACAAATACTTTCGTTGTGGGTCTGATTTCTAAACAATTGCCCACATACATTTGGTAATTGGTTGCGGATAATGTGTCCAATAGTGGGTGTATTTGTTTTTCAATGGTCCGTAAATAACGTTTTGTTATTTTTTTGAACATCATGGAGTTTATTTTCAGATCCCTTCTTACTAAATGATTTTACTACTAACGATTGTTAAATTTGCATAATGAATAAACTATTTATTTAGGTATATTACAACAATTAAAAATAAAAAACACACTACCTATTTACATTGATTTTCAATCATAGACATATTATATAGAATTCAAACTCTATTCTTTAAAAATTAAAAAATATGTATATTTTTTATTCAATTGTTATTTTCAGGCAACTATGGCCCCTAGATACACACCTTACAGACAGATATTTAAATATACAATTAATGCTAGTAAATAAACTTAAGCCCTAAATAGGTACCTGGCTAGAAGGTTGTTCATCAGGCTTATTCCTGTCCATCATCGGGATCGGTTCCCTCCCTGCAGCTCTTTCCTTGTCTCCCTGATCGTAGAACTCCTCAAAGATCACCTTCACGGTCTTGATTTGAATGTCCCAGGGTTTGGCTGAAGCTGACAGGTCTGCTGCAGTCATCGATATCGCCATGGCTAGCTCTCTGTTGGAGAAAAGATTGATAAATTGAAAAGCACGCACAGGAAAACTCACTAATAACGTCAGTAGCGCACAGTACATGGCTAAAGTGTTCGTTTTAACGCACTAATCTCCGAAACGACTGGTTCAAAAACAATTATTTTTGGTAGAAAGTCCATTGTTGAAGAAGACTTTAGACTAAAATACATTGAAAATGATATGGCTTGAATATAATTTAATATTTTATACTTTTTTACTTTGTTTCCTTACCTATGACTATGAAGATCCCAGTTGAACTGAGGAATATCACCTTCGTGGAGCTGCTTGATCTTGGCCAGGTTGGGGAAGAAGGCAGCAAGATCTGTAGCCAGGATGCAGTGCCTGATGTAACCCAGCACTTCCTTGTAATCTTCGCTGGAAATGTGAGAGAAGATGTTGTGGCCATCCTGGAAAATGAGACTTTTAAACTAAAACATACAATAATATTTGTATTGTTGAGAAAGTAAAACTATTTTTGTACAGTTATTATTACTTTTCTGGGTTGGTGATTAGCGTTCATTAGACTCTACCTCACACAGGGAGACAGTTGTGAGGTTATGTACGTAAGGTTTGATTTTGGTTTTAAAATTTTGTAAGAAAAGGTCAGTAGCGATATAAAAGAAAATGTTCAATTGTAATTTATAAAGCCTGCCATTGACTACTTGTCCCATAAATATTATGAACAATTATATTAATTATTTTATTCACAAAAGTGTCGTACAATATTAATGTCTATACTACTTTCGAAGAGGAAATCACGAAATATCTGCGTAACGTTGGCGTCGCCGACTGCTTAACGCCATCTATGGCGTAATTTAAACGGTGGTAAACTAAAATTTCGGCACTCTCAACCTACGTTGATATTTTTTCAAATTTCGCTTTGGAATTTCTCAACATTCCTTTTAAATGTTATTGAAAAATATTTCAACGAAATTTTTTAAAGATTCATTAAATATGTTGGTGATTTTTAACAGGAATTTATTACGAAGTTATTCTAGCAAGGGTATTTTCAATCTGTTAAATATTTAACAAGAAACTTATAACAAGAAATATCTTTTAATATAATAATTTTCGAAATACTCGCCTTTCATAATTATATCAGACTTTTCCAAACCTACAATATACATAAGTAGGTACTCGTATTATAGCTCGACCACATTATGATCGGTTCGGTCGGTTCCTAGCCGTTGTACACTGAATCATAATGACGGATTACATATTTCTGGTTTCATACTTCGATATTGAGGAAACCTCTTCATATTGTAACAATAGGACCTCCCAATGTATGTAAAATATTTTATTAACAATTTAAACACTCGTATTGTGTTCTCCGTAAGTACATTTTGAATAAGATATTAAATAGGGTGAAGGGTTTCATTCAATATTTTGTTTCAATATGAGTAGCAATTTACCAGGAAGGTTTATTTTTGTTATTGGACAAACATTAATACAAATGGTTCAAAATATACAAAATAATATTATAAACAATATTGTGGGCTTTAATCATGTCGTGATTCATCAATACCGCTAAATGTTTCATCACAGAAATGAGAAATTTAATTTTCTATTAAATCATTACCTGTTGTAATATGGTAACAGTGATGTTAAAATGGTGATGTTCCAGTGTGGACGTGGTGTACATAGCCGCGAGGGGAGAAGCTATTTCACTCATATACTTATTGGTGTACCCACGGTGGTCTAAGTCATGACACAGACAGGCCACAAAGAGAGCTAGACGCTGGAAAGAAAGCCCAAATTAATTGCTGATGATCTAAAAATATATCTACAAAGAAGTGTAACACCAACCATTTTATAATTAAATCGATTTCTGTAATCATTCTTCAGTATCACATACATGGAGTGGGCAACAGTCCAACCATGGTCAAAATTATGGTACGGCACCGTTCTATAATTCTTCTTCACTGTCAACACGAATCTGGTTAACGTGCTAATATCAAAACTGGCCAGGTCGAACAAGACACTGAACATCTTAATCACGCATTTGCACTTTTCAAACTCATTGAATTTGTAAGGATCCAAATAGAAGTCATCTAGGTCTACTTTTATGGGTTCTTGGTCACTTAGCATAGCTGTGACCTCATTCTCCCTGCAAGTATTATGGTAGCTTAGGACTTCAAGAGCTACTCTATACTTCTGTTCTTTTCTCATGATCCTATCGTATAGCCTGGCATGATGGAGTGCTAGTCCGAAAAACGTGGAGAATATCTCAAATGACACTTCATCTTCATGCCCGAAATTGTCATCGTTCCGCTTGTTAACCATTTGGACGACGCCGATGACTCTGCCTTCGACTTTGATAGGCATGCATAAGATGCTTATTGTCTTGTAACCAGTAGCTTCGTCAACTTCCCTGGAAGAAATTTCTAGTTTAGAATTCTTTAATAAAGTAGTAACCAAATATACATTACTTCTTTTATTTAAGCAGTCTTACCTGTTAAATCTATAATCAGAATAAGCATCAGGTATATTCATAGTCTCTCCCGACAACGCCACATGACCAGCTATTCCTCTATTAATCGGCATCCTAATTTCCTTCTTTTCCATATCTCTATCGTGGCCAGGTTCAAATTTTAAATCAAAAACTGTGGAGACCAGTTCGAAGTTCCTATAGTCAACCAAGAAGAGTGACGCTCGATCAGCATTGACCAGACGTTGGGCAAATTCTAATATTCTTTTTATCAGCTGGTCCAAAGAAACCATTTCTTCAAATATGGCTCTGAAAACATTTGTTTTTATTGCAAACAACTTTTTTTAAAGAAGAAAAAGAAAATAAACAGACACACTGAATGTGACTTCATTTTGCAAGAGCATAAAAACTAGAAACAAAATTTAACGAGAACATCTTTCACATAAAAGTAAAACAAAAATAAGTACACTGTTTGTAGGACTCATGCAGCAAAAGTTTATCTTCGCGCTTAGGCCATTAACTAATGAACCAAGTCACACATACAAGTCAGCATTTCAGGCAGAATATGTAAAAGTGATAACTTTCTACATAATTATGTCAGCAATTTACAAAGTAAATCCTGTGATTTTTAGTGTAAATGTGTATCTCTATTCAAACAAATACATTTGTTGTGTTGGTTTTTAAATTTTAATTTCATCATGCACACTTTGATTACAATGGCAAATTGCTATTAATTTCTTATAAAAGACTAGTAGGTACTATACAAAATCTTGTGCTTCAACCATGAGTAACTGACATACTTAACAACATCCAGAAGAAAGTCGGACATATTCCTCTCCCTCTTCTTGTCCAGGTACAGATTGCAGTAATGTAACGCCAGACTGCCTAACACCAGGAAATTGGAGCTGATCTCCTCATCTACTTCTTTGAACCTCTCCTTAATTCTCCACATCTCTATCACGTATGCTGTCTTCCCATTCTTCGTCAGGATCGGTTGGTACATCACATGGTTTGCTTGTTTCTGCAGTACAGAGGGAAAGGGTTGCATTTCTATAGTGTTAGTGGCTTTTTAATCGTATATGGATAAGTGGCACTTACGACATTCTTGCCCATGGACTTGAACAAAGCGACAGGAGTCTCCGGGAATCTGGCAGCGTCATCTAGTCTCGATACACGACGACACGCTCCACTCTTTGCCACTTCCAACACCAGGTACACTTGGTCAGCGTATGCTCTGACTAAACTTCTTATAACGTCTCTAGATGGCTGGAATGAAAAAGCGTAGGTATTGTTTGTATTTATTTTTCAACAACAAATTCAAAGTTGGATAAACAATTGCTTTGTTATTTATCAATCTATTGTTTTGTATTCGTGTAATGTGTTTTACAATATCAGTGAATTTTATAACATGGAAAATGTAACAAAAGGTTATATGAGTATTGAAAACGGAAGGTGTCCATTCATCCATAGCAATCCCTTTACACAGGACGTCGTATTATAAACACATTACGAAACATGAACATAATGACCCAGCTTAGAGTATTATACTCTAAGTATTACTTCTTTTAAGCCGGCATTTCATATGATACTTTTCTGAGAATAAGTATCTTAACAACAAACGAGGTCACAATCTCATTAGAAATGTGTCAGGATCACCTTAATATCGACGACGAAGAATTGAACGAAGCTTGGATGATCAGGGTACAGCTTGTAGACTCGATGCGCATCCACACCAACTGAGCTGGTGATGTAGTTGGCCAGCTCCCAGAGAACAGAGTGTTCATTAGGGTCATCTTTCAGAACTCTTAGAAGATCCTGAACAAATAAACGATTTTGATAAGGTGTCAATAGTATACTATTAGAGAAGCGAATATCGAGTGGTGAATTAAATTGCAGCTGATTAATGACTAAAGATTTCACACATTTTCAAATGGATAAAAGTCAAACGAAAAAAGTTAAAAGTTAATCTTATTTAAGCTTCTAAGAATGCTATTGATTGACAGTTGCTTACCGAAAACACTTCCTTCTTGTTAAACTCCTCGGTTTTCTTGAAGGTCATCATCTGTCTGTGATTGTATGTTGAGGGAGCAATCTGGAAATAGATAATATGACTATATTTTTTTTGTATTTGATAGACCGACGTTTGATCCCTATCTCGCCTGGTGGTAAGCGATGACACGGTCTACGATGGAGCACGTCGACGCATAAGTAACCTATTCACTCGGGCCCTGAAGACACCCAGGTCACCCTTAAGGAAACACAGACTCTGGCAAGGAATTCCATCCCTAGTAGTTGACGCAAGGATGTTTGATGTGAAGCGCTTTGCGCATGTGAGTGGGACATCTAGCATCAGTGACGCTTCGCCGATTGTCTTGTGGTAAGATGATGATGAAAAGGCCTAGGGTAATCAAGATGTGAGAGTACCATATTTTTAGTTCTTATTTACAAATTACATTCAATTCATGATGAGGTGAATGGAATGTAATTAGATTACACAAGAAGTAAACATATTGAATTGTCCATAATTCCATCCATCACTTTAATTATAAGTAATTAATAGACAAGTTTTCATATAAGTCTGCGTTGAAGTGCTCACATAATGTCTCTTTGTCTTCATCTGCAGCCATTTCTGAATGGTATCAGCTGGAATTCGCTCCGTGACGTAGGCTTCAAGGAAATCTTTATTCTTATCTAAATACTCCGCTACGTCTTGTTCTTCTGCATCTGCCATAAAATAAAATCAGATTAATGATAATTGATGAGACTCCCTCGTTAGCCAAGAGGAAGCAAGTGCAACTGCCGGGCAAGGGGTCTCGGATTCGATTCCCGGGTCGAGCAAAGTATTATTGGTGTTTTTTTATTCTCAGTAGTAGCACGGAGCCTAGAATTGGGCCCGTTATATGGCAATAGGCTCATAACTTAAATAGTGAAAAGTTGGTGTTATATTGTACAGTGGCATTAAGTGCCGTAAAGTGCACCTCTGCCTACACCTTTGGGGGAATATACTTAAATAAAAAATGTAGTCTATTCGTCATTGTAAAAGTTACTTATACAAAATTAAAAAAAAAGTACGTTGGAATAAGTTTCTTGGCGCTCTGTAGGTGCTTTCTACGAACTCCTAAAGATAATCAATATAAATGCGTATATTTTGACAATGATCAACAGTAACGATACATAAGTATGTTTTACAAATTGTCCGCACTTAGCAGGTGGATTTTAAGATAATATTTTTAAAGGTTTTACAAACATTTTCTTTTTTTTATTAAACTTTGCACCAAACTAGGATTTTCTCCTGTGTCGTGGGTGCCATTTTGCTCATACCAACCTTTGAAAGAAGTTACGGACCTCGCCTTGTTCCGCTTAGGCATACTCCCTGTAAACAAAACACCCATAGCAATTAATTAACTGAACAAACACTTAAACAGTCTGGGTGCCGGTGTTTCAAAATTAAATGTTGGCGAATGAATTGCAAATGTTTTCTATTTCAAATAAACAAAGCGCATGTCTGGCCCTGCCCATTGGTCAATGGTTATCAAATTTGTTTTTTTTAATAACTATCGTGAGATATACTCGAAATTAGTAGAGCTTTTCTCAGTATATTCACGTGAGTAACCCGCGGTTTTTAGTGACGTTATCAAAACTATTGGTTTGTGCATCAAATAGTTAGTTTATTAAAAGATTCCTCCACAAGTTAATTAGTTTTCGGAGGATTTGTTTTTGTCTACGGTGTGTTCAAATTCTGTAACATGCACGAGATTACAATCGCTCACACATGGGGTATATCGCGAGAATAATCCTGCTTTTAAAGCGATTGAAATTTCATAGATTTAGCTAGCTCGACTAGATTTTGTGGTAAACTAACAAAATGGAGGGTTGCGGGATGTAAATGGAATAGTTCTTTTTTTAACCATTCATATAGAAACTTCCATTTGGAGTTGCAATCGTGTCAAATCGTGTATTTGTGTTCATACAAAAAATAGGTAGGTACGTGGGATTTCGAAGCGTACATTTATTAGCTATAAATAGTGTACTATAAAAATAAATAAATATGTAAGCACGAATAAAGAATATAGCACATTACATTCAAACACTATAGAAGGGATTAATTATGTCCTAGGTTTTTAAAACATTTCATTATTAACTAGTTAACATCTTTTACAACGAAAAAATAAATGAGAACGAATTCCATAACAGACGCTTGGTCCTCTTCAAAATAGAACTGTAGTTTCATACAATTTCCATTTGATTTCACAATTTCGTGTCCATCTCTCATAATTAAGTTAGTTCCAACCAATTGTGTGTGAAAAATATTTTCATTCCGTATCGCCTCTCAACTTTTTACAGTTGAATACATTTTACTGACTGCATAGTACGAGAGCCTAGGCCACTAAAATATTCGTCACTTGAGATTTGTAGAGACCTATTGAAAATTGATGATAAAAGAAGGACTTAGAGGTATTCGCCAACCCGCGGACCTGCGCCGCCCTACCAGAACCCGAGCATGCGGCGCATCGCGTCCCGCGCGCGCCTCATAGAGCCGTCAGACCACCACAGATGGGGCCCAATAGGGCTGATGCCGATATGGAACCGCGGAGAACATATCAAGTTACCGGGGCTCCGGCTCGAAGTGCAGGAGTAGGAACACCCCGTTCTTCGGTTTTTAGTCAGTAAGAGTCTGACACTCTCTCCCGCCTCACCCAGGCAGGAAGTCATTCGATGACTATAATTTAAATTTTATTGGTTGGCTATAGCCTATAGCCAAAGTGCCTATAGAGGTTAGGTTATAATGTAGTAGGGTAGGGTAAGTGCTATTCAGAAATAGAAATGTTAAAATCATTATTCTTCAAATAAATCTGTGTGCCTGTAGTGTTTCCAAAGAGTACCAGGTAATCTTTTTTTTATATTTGACTGGTTGAACTTTTGCCACCATCTCGCCTGGTGGTAAGCGATGATGAGGTCGACGATGGAGCCCATCTATGAGCAACCCGTACACTCGGGACTTGAAGACACCCACGTTCTATTTGTCAGGAAACACAGATTCCCAACAATGAAAATGACGCGGTCGAGTAACTCCCAAAATCCCGTCCCAGGCTCCCCTACTACGAGCGAAAACAATATTTTCATTTGGAAAATTCTTCAATTTTTATATTTTCGGTGAAATAGTTGCACTAATTGGAAGATATTTACGCAAAATTGCTTTATTTACAGTGATTGTAAAATGTAGAGTGCAGATGCGACAAGTTTCTTAGGTAGAATAATTACAATTAAACATTAGCAATTGATGTTTTAAACAAGACGGACACAGTCTTTTGAAACGACTGTGGCACTTAACTTACACGGAAACTTAAACACATTGACAAGAAGGGCATCTGTCATATTCTGAAAACTGGTAACGTGGTAACCCATTATACACCATAAAAAAATCATTGACACTTTGGTGCATCAATCTTTTAAGTGACATTATGTCCGCCTTTCTTCAACGTCCATAGTGTGAGCTATTTGTTCATGTGACATAACACAGCGACCACCAGTGCCAGTAAGATATTAACTGAATTACTTTTGTACACAATTGTTACCTTAGTAACACTTTTCTGATTGAAGTTTGTTATTACTTCTTATACCTTTGTATTCTTAGCATTGTTTTTTAAATATTTTTTATCAAACTTCGCATTCTGTTCACGATCATTAACGCATTATTCAAATACAATTATGTTCATGCGTACCTGTATACTTCTTCTCCGTCTTGACAGCACTCCAGTCCAAGTAGATGGAATGCCTCTGTCTGCAGCCGCTGTGGAACCGCGACCAGCTCTGTTCTTCTTTTGGAGGTCGGTACACTGGTATGGCACGACCTAGAGATGTGGAATGTTGATAAATTAATTATTTTACTTGCAAACTATTGCAGGGATACAGTCTCTCTTCTCTCCTCCATCTTTTTATCTGTTTTGTTAGATAATGGTTCGGCTCTAAAACTTCGTTGTGTTAGAGCAAGTAAAGGAAAATATATGAATGTTCAACTCTCCGCCTCCTATGCTAAGTTAAGCATTACCAGAACATTTAGTATATGAGGGCTGATTTACCAGAGGAGCTAGCAACATCTCCATAGATCGGAGGTAGCAGTCGAGGAGACCGGGGCTCGGGTGTCTTCGCTTTGACCGTAGAATTTCTCGAAATAAGTGCCTGAAACACACAAATGGTGAATTTAAACATTTTTATTAAAATAACTCACTGGTAACTTCTGGCAACAAATCACTCGCTTGTTAATTAGGTACGCTCCTATAACAAGGAACATAAGCCTATGCCTATCAGTTTCTTAAAGCATTTTTTACGACGGAGTGTTGCTTTTCTTATTATATTAGGCGTTCAAATTAAAATAAGTAGTATTTTCAACACGCTTTTACCTTTTGACAACAATTATACTTTCCTATAAAAATGAAAATTTAAACTGATACCATAAGTTTATGTAACTCGAGAGTTCGTTATAATAATTATACACTCTTGACAAACCTATTGTTCTACGGAAACGCCGCTGGCAGAAACTTGGACCAATATAAATATTAATCAATCAAAACCTCACTAAAACGGTGTGCCATAATTACTAGTGAACCTATTGTACCGATCCTTCCTCGTGTCGGTTGAAGTGGACAATACAAATAGCTATCAGTGGCCATAACTCGTTTGTTTGACACGCCATCATCGAGCAACCAAAATGGTTGATCAATTTCGGCGGCATTGTCGATGGCACTACAAGTGCAATCAGACTCAGTCGGCATTTTTGAAAAGAGTACTACAAAGGCTTTGGTAATCAATACATTTTATGATATTATGTCATCATTCATGTAATTGTTTGTCATATTAATTTTGGAGGGAGAATTTATGTAGATAGAATAATTCGTTGATAAAATAGGTGTTGTTAAATAGAGAAAGAAGCCCCTTTCTCTAATAGTCATTCATCTTTAGCAGAAAACATGTTCGAGCTAATGATAAAGTTGCAAGTCATGATTTGTAATTGACTTATCCCTCTTAAGGAACTAAAACTTTGTTTAATAGCTAAAGGTAAGTTAGTAGCTTAGCATTGAATGAAAATCGTCCGATGTAATGATAAAATCTTGTAAAACCAATGCATCTAGTTATAAGAAACCAAAAGTACATTCGCAAAAAGTATGCAAAGCAAAACACAGAAAAACATATCTATGTAGGTACAATACAGGTGTCGTGTGTCGGGTCTGTACAAAATTCATAATCTTTGTACAAACCTTGTTTGTGGCGCTATGAATATCGAAATATTGAATATTTACATAATATTTTCATGATGTTTTCATTTTGCATAAATCCTATTGAATATTTTGTAACGTTGTTTTCGAATTTAGTGTTCAATAAACTGCAGGTATGCGGGGCATCAATTTGTTTATGATTACAAAAATATGTAAATTGGTTAATTTATCTGTTTATAAAAACTAAATAGATGATAGGCAACGCAAAGCTGAAATTAGGGATGGTAAAGAGTTTTAGAACACCTGTTTACCATCTTAAAGATATGGGACTACCTAGTGAAAGAGAGAGAAGATTGCATTGACATATGGGTAGGACATCGATTGCCGAAGAATATGATGAGGCTTAGACTCTCACACAGGAAACCTTTGTGTAATCTTGTAATAGTAAACCAAAATTGTACTTGGGTCTTAAACTAAATAAGTAAAAGTAATTCTGAAGTTACCTCTCGAAATAATTAGGGAAATCTGAGTTTAGTTGACTTGTGACTAATATGGTGAATAGAACGATGGTAAGTACTCATTTTTTTTCTGTACATGGAGCTAGTTTGATCCTCGCACGAAACAACTTTTTGTGTGTTCTAAATTCAGGGACACATCAAGATAAATAAAGAAATTGAAATAGTATATGGTATCACCAGTTCATGATAGCCGGACTATGGCCCCCGTTTTTTTTATGGCATAAGCCGGTAAACGACCAGACGGATCACCTGATAGTAAGCAATCGGCGTCTCCCATGGACACCTGGAACACCAGAGGCGTTACAAGTGCGTCACCCGCTTTTTGGGGATTAGGAGTTTGGATCGTTGGGGATTCAGGGATTGGGGAGATTGGGGAAGGGGAAGGTAATTGGGCCTCCGGTAACCTCACTCACACGACGAAACACAACGCAAGCGTTGCTTCACGTCGGTTTTCTGTGAGGCCGTGGCATCACTCCGGTCGAGCCGGCCCATTCGTGCCGAAGCATGGCTCTCCCACACTTTGCTTACGCAATTCAAAGGGCAACTATAGATCCCTATATATAGGCACAAATATATGATGGGTATTATTTTCGGTAGTTCAAGGAAACCAAGGTGACTTGCCCATATAGGACTATCAATCAAGCTAATGGATTAATAGTTTGGCCGCAATTAGGCTAAGTCCTTATAGCAATATAATTACTAAATTACACCCAGTATCGTGTGCTGAAACAATAGCTGAAGGGCTTATGTACTTTGTGAATAAAGTAATATTTACTAGGAAGACTAATTATTTGTAAATATTTTCAAGGTCGAAACCATTGGCAGTTCAGCAGTAGATGTCTTGTGGTTCATGGAAGATGATAATGGCGGAATGTAATTTTATGAAGCATTCTTGTGGATTTAAACTATACGACCTTTAAACCTTCAAGAAAAGAGCGTATTCCTTTTTAAAAGGCTGACAACGCACCTGTGACTCCTCTGGTCTTGCGGGTGTCCATGGGCGGTGCTGAACGCTTAGGTGAACCGTCTGCTCGTTTGCCTCCTATTCCATAAAAAATATAACTGATACGATAATGATTATGATCTTATGTGTGTGTTAATATTAATCTATCAAGTTTTAGCTTCATGCAAAGCAGTTTGACCATCAGATTGAGAATTCAAATTAATCCATATAATACATTCATTGTTTTTATTTATAATTATATCTTAACTAGTCGAGTACCGGTTTTATAGACACAATTAAAGAACAATAGGTCGCGGTCACCGGTGACCGCTTGGTGTTTGACAGATTAAGATGCATGTTTATTTCTATTGTTGCTGAAAGGAAATTTTCCTTTTTGTGTTTTTTTTTTTATTTATGTCATCATTCTATCTTGCTTTTCATAAATCATATCGAAAAAAATTAGTTTATAATATGTCCTTTTTTGGCGTGATACAAAATGCTTTTTATTTTATTTATTTATCGAGAGTTGATCTGCTCATGAATATGAGCTTCAAGCATGGCTTGAAACTAGTCGAGTTCCTCGCCAAACAATACACGTGACGTGAGTAAGCCGAAAACATAATAATTAATTTACTATGTCTTATGAAAGTTTAAATATAAGTCGAAAATTAAAATCGAATCTTTACTTTAGTTCTACTGTGATTCTGTCAAAACAAAACTGAATCGGTTTAGTTCACAGATCTTATAAGAAATTATTAACTTTGATCGTTACTCTGCCAAAAAACTCATCAGCATTAAGCCTAGTACCAGTTTAAATAGCCCAAGGTCACATTACCTTTCCTGGGTGGGAACTAATTATGGTGCACACAAATTTGGGCCTTATGTACGTGCAGTGCGTTCGTAATTGGCTATCACGGGAAGTGCGTTGATTCCCCTTCGATTTAAGTGCACGTGCACCGAAGATATTAGGGTACTTTAAGCTCTTAACTAGACTAAAAGCATATTTATTATTGGCTTTTAGTCGTATAGTACCTAAATGGTACGTCATAGGTTTGGTAATGATGTTGCTAATAGGTAAAGATAGGTTTTGAAATACTAACAGATGGAAATCGTTGAATAGGATTAAAATAGAAAATGTGGCTAATGTTTACTTTGGTTTTAATATGTTATTATAGTATTTATAATTACGATTAGTTGTTTAATTTGTTTTATTTTATAGGTACTATATATTGCACAAAAGCCTATTTTCGCTGAGTTTCTACCTAACTCAAAGGTTGACAGGGAAAAAATACGATATGGCAAAATTAAATTCACCGTATATATAACGTTGAAAAATTAAAGTTATTAAATTCCTAATAAAAAAAATATTGGGTTACCCCATATCATCCCAACCCACATAGATTAGGTCATTTATTTAGGATTTGATTCGTACAGCTTACATTCGTGTTGTGATTACAGAATACCTCTAGAAAATATTTGTCACCACTTTTCCGACGGATGTTACAAGGGCAAGCTAAAAGGGCTACAGTTTACCAGGCATTAGCATTTTTGGATAAGCAAATCTGAACCATTCAAACATGCCAAAGACGTTGAAAAAATTTGGACGTAATGTCACATCGAAATGATCATGTGTGTGAATATTTATGTGTGCAACACCGCAATGTATGAAGTGTAATGACGGGCTATGTGACGCGGCAGATGTCCTTCGTGTCAATTTGTGTGTATGGTGCGTGTAAGTCTATAGTAGAAAGGCGCACCAGTCGTTGTTTCGACAGACTCTGTCCACCTTTTTATCAACGTCCTTGGATATGGTAAACTCTCAAGTAAAGGACCTTCTTTCTGATACATTACTGTATCAGGTACATCATCATTGCTGGATACATGATCCAGTAATGACTGTCAAGGGATGTTGATGATGACATAGTTTGCAGAGCAGTAAGTAGGTATGTGGGTTCAAACAAAAGAAAATCAGTCGCAATAGCGGATTATAATTATTAATTGTTAAGCAGATTATTTTTATAACGTTCACATTATTCCCAATTGACAAAAAACTAGCAAATTGGTTATTAGAATGTTTCATAGTGGTCCCATAGACACCAAATAAGAAAACGTTGGGGAAATTTGATGAAATTCTACTTATAGGCACGCTGTATATTTGTATTAATTACAATACATCTACATCTTCCCAGTTGTGAACAAGGACAGCTAATAAAGTAACAGTTTAAAATTAAAAAGGAGACTAAAAATTTAAAACTAAGGCTAGTTTCAGTGGTCCCCTCCGGCCGTGTCAGATTCATCTTATCAGGTTACAACAGTCAGGGAACAGAAAGTGCACAATTATGCATGTTACTGTGTCAGTACACGCACACACATGCGTGTAATTACATAATTATGTACATAAGTAAACCAGTACATTACGAAAAGAGATATAATGTGTCACTTTATGAAAACAAGATTTAATAAAAATTATATTGCTAAAATCAAGGTGCTAGGAAGCAAGTTAATTCTATTCTCTTCTAAGGTCACCTGCGAGACACTATTAATTGAGAATATATCAGGTGTGGGAGAGCCGTGCTTCAGCACAAATGGGCCTCGTTCTCGACCAGAGGAATACCACGGCCTTATAGAAAGTTAACGTGAAACAAAACATGTAAGAGAGGTTCATCATCAACAGCCTATAAATGCCCACTGCTGAGCAAAGCCTCTTCTCACACGGAGAAGGTTAGAGCATTAATCACCACGTTTGCTCAATGCGGGTTGGCGATTTCAAACTTATAATTAGAAATTATAAGTCCAGGTTTCCTCACGATGTTTTTCCTTCACCGATTGTCAGTGGTGTCTAAATAATCTCAGAAAGTACATATAACTCGGAAAAAGTCACATTGGTACTTGCCGTTGGTAGGTTTCGAACCCGCACCCTCATGCATGAGAAGTGGCGTCTTAAACCTCCGGGCCACCACGACGGTTACAGGACGCTCAATTATCCCCCTCTCTAATCTTCCTAAACCGCAAATCCCCAACAATCCTTAAATTTCTAATGCCCGGCCGGTAATGCACTTGTCACACCTCTGGTGTTTTGGGTATCCATGGGCGGCGCCGATTACTTACCATCAGGTGACCAGTCAGTTCGTTTACCGGCTTATTACATAAAAAAGTATAAATAACATGAACACCAAAAAGTGGAAAGGAAAGTTGTCAAAAAGGTGAGAGCAGGTACTTCGTAATGTCCATTTTTAACAAATCAATCATATTCCAGAAGATAATACGGTATATATTGAGAACTAATACAAGACATAATGCCAATGTAGCATTTTGTGGAGTAGACTGCAAAAGTTTAACATTAGCTAGTGCCGTGTGTGTCGGTATCGGTTTCTTTGAGTACTTTGTTTCTTTGCAATTTTAATGAGTACGTTTATGCTTTGCTCATGGATGTTTACTGTTACTCGTAAAATATGTAATGTATCTAAAATATTTGTCACTTATTATATTTACATAATTGTCATACTGAATGGGTTTATAAATTTGTAACATAAAACTGTGAATGTGAGTACCAATACAAACCAGCTGTGGTTTAATGGTGCAAAAAAATTTTTTAAACTGTACTGAAATGTAATAATAAATAAATTAAAAAAATAATTATTATTACGAAGTACGCACGGTCTACTATAAAATCAACTTTAAACGACTACAAAAACATAACACAGGACAATTATTATACGGTTATCATTTAACTAATAAGTTTAAAAAGTTAAAGCCAAGCAGTAAAATTCCAGTAATTAGGTCAATAAAGGAACTTACGTAGGTATGTCATAAATACACTGCTAGGAAAAAATACACCTACCTATCAATCCTTTGTATAGAAAATAAGAAAAAGTTGTACCTTATTGGTCTCCTTGAGGCCATTGACAACAGGAGGCTCGTTCATAATAAAACTTATATTTTAGCGACAGGCGTGCGGTATGGGGCAGTTGTACACAATAGTGAGCACGCCGAAACGATACCGATGTCACTCCACGATGTAGCGGACACACGATCGAAACTAGACCTTGTCTTATCATACTAAATTATATTTTTGATTGCGTCCCGTTTAATTAAAATGATGACGTATCAATGGCTGTGTTTACTCGTCTAATGATTGCAAGACAAAGGTATATTGGTTTTTTTCAAATAGATACTGTAGTTTTCTTTGTGCCTAGTACGAAAACTTTGGAATCCAAACTAACTTCTACTGGGCTGATGCCGATTCGGAGTCGCGGAGAACCTAACGGGTTACCGAGGCTCCGACTCGACGTGCAGGAGAAGGAACGGGGTGGTTTTTAGTCAGTAAGAGCCTGACACTTCCTCCCACCTCACCCAGGCGGGACCATTCATTCAATGATTTTCCCTTAGTAAAACAAAAATCTACTAATTATTGATACTAATAATGATAACTAATTACGAAGAATTTACGCAGAGCTGGTGCATATAGTGTAGATCTAACAGTGGACTGAAACACAATGATGATAGTCAGGACAAAAGGACTACAACTTAACATTGTAAATTGTAGTTGTTGTTGTCACAGAACATCTCCTTTATATGTTCTGTGGTTGTTGTAGCTCAAGTGATTAGTTGAGATATGAAATGTTGTGTTAAAACACAATTTTATTTATATTGTTTACATAATATTAGTGAAAGCTCATAATTCTACAATGCTAATACTAATGATATAAAACCGTACAGTCAGTATTCAGCTGCAACGTAACGTTGTTGGAAGGGCAAATAATTTGTTTGCAATTTATGAACTGCTTCGTCCATAAAATACTATCATGCCATGAGTCTAGTATTAGCGAATGCTACATCTACTACTACTTCTTGGTTCTGAGAAAGAAGTTGGCAAAGTACGAGATTACGTAAATTTCTTATTATCGTCCAAATTATTTGGGGTCGTCAATGATATTATAAAGAAGATACGCTACGTTCATACAGGTTCATACTAAGCGACGTCCAAAAATTGTTGCGTTCTTATTACAAATGTACTTAAATGTCATTTTCAACTATGTGCGACAGATAATACGGAAAGTATGGTACAGAAAGAGATAGCTATTATAAAATTACGACAGTTGTCTGAATTCGTTCGCAACAATTTTTGCGTGCCAGTGCGATATCTACTTCTTTTTATTATTTATAATATCATTGGGGGTCGTTGTTTTAAAAGCCATTATTAACGACATGTTTCCATTTTATCCAAGTTCTTTAATCAAATTAATTTTACAATAAACTCCTTTTCATATTCCTGGAATTCTCCAACCCGTTCATATTCTTGTAATTCTCACACAATCCATATACCTTTTCTATGATAATGTCCTTTACGCCCACGCTAATATTGGGCACTCGCTCGGTCTCCCGATTTTCGTCCCTTTTTATCATAATTTCTATACCGAGGGGGACAATTACCTATTTATAGTAAGCAGTGAGAGCTTTGCTACACCTTATAGGAATAATAGACGCGGTCGTATACTTTGTTTTGTGATTATTTTGAACAAATAATAGAATATAATGTGCCAAGCGGAAGGGATCGCCGAGGGCGTCTAAATGCCAAAAATGATGGGAAATATTTCGAGCGAGAATTTTTCAATTTTTTCGACATGGGGTGGGCCTGATTGGCAGATTCTATTATCTGATGCACTAACCCCCAAGCTGAGGCTGAATTTTGAATAAATGTTGTTAGCATTTTGACGCAAACCAAATTTCTGCCTGAGGCTAAACGGTATAACCATGTTCTCGTTAACCATGTGCACCCACTGACCACTACAGACAAAATCACAATATGATTTTTCAGTCATAACGGACTTGTTGTAATTGATTCAAATAAAAAATTGCAACAGTCTTTGTAACATAATAAGAACTCTATTAAACAAATATGGAGCACCCATAAAACTCTTCTCCGATATTAAATTTATTTTTTTAGTGTAAAATCTATAAGTGTGAAATTTTTAAATTATTTTACTAAGACCTACTTCAGTAGCTTTGCTGTGCTCCAATAAAGACCGTCTAATGAAGTCCATTTTTCCCAGGTAATACTATTATCTGTCCTATCAACGTCCCCTTGAGGTCGGAGGAAAGTTATCGGTCTAGTGTGTCTACTAAGTTTATTTTTCTTCTTAAACTTTATGTTATGCTTAAAATCTTTCTATTATTATGAATGTAATAGTTTGTGAGTTTTTGCCACGGTTGAAGGGATCGGAATTTGGAACAGGGGTAGATTATGCGCAGTTTTTTTAAACGGGGGAAAATCATCGAATTACTGCTCCCACCTGGATGAGGCAGGAGGAAGTGTCAGTCTCTTACTGACTAAAAACCATCCCGTTCCTACTTCTGCCCTTCGAGCCGGAGCGCCGGCAACCCGTTAAGTCCTCTGCGACTAGATTATGCGTATAGGCTACTTCGCATAGGCTACTTTTTATCCTACGGGAACGCGAATGTAACCGCGGGCAGGAGCCTGTGAGCTATACAGGACATCATTGGTTGAAATGCTCGTATGTATGGTACCTTGTCAGATTTCCAATTCGAACACAACCTTATATTGGTATAAGTTCTAATGTCTATGTATGACATCAGACTACAACCTTCTGAAATGAAACTCACACTAATTTAACACCCTATTTTCGCCAGTTGCGTTATGAAACATTGCTATGGTTTCAGGTCGCTTGCAACTGGCCTATCTGGAGGTCGTTGGGGGAGGCCCATGTTCAGCAGTGGATGTCTTATGGCTGATATGATCATGAAGATGATAATGATGTTATGAAACACGTGTACCTAATAGATTCTGCTATTATAGTCTATCATATACTGTGTGTTAACAAACAAAACATACCGAAAATGTACCTACCTACCATAACGATTCGGAACTCGAATTAGTCCTTGCGACCACTCGACCAACGAGGTTCATAGAATCAATTCAATATTAATTCGCACTAAGTGATTTCTCCCTTCCTATAATATTTGTTACAGGCCACTGGTTTTATTGTCCTTTGATAATGTTATCATGCAACAAACTCCATTGATTGATTGCTTATCACTGTTTATCACGGTCATTCTATTGAAATGAAACAAATACTATGAATTAAATTCGTTTTAATTTTTAATGAAAGTATATTTCTGCCACAGATCCATAGGAAGATATTATAATAGGAATGGTTTTTTGCACTTTAATTATTATATATTTAAATGTTGTCCTTTTTTGGATAGGCCGGTTAACTAGCAGACGGATCACCTGATGGTAAGCAATCGGTACCGCCCATGAACACCTGACACACCAGAGACGTTACAAGTGCGTTACCAGCCTATTAGGGATTAGGAATTAGAAATGTTGAAAATTCAGGGATTGGACAATGTGAGGCCGTAGTATCAATCCGGTCGCACCGGCCCATTCGTACCGAAGCATGGGTCTCCCACACTTAAACTAAGTAACTTTCTATTCCGTGTGTATAATAACTAAATAAATATGCTTCCTGCTCGTTATCATAATCCACGGGTCAATAAAAATAAAATGAATAAATAAATCATTTCCACGCTTTGCTAGCAGGTTGGAAATAGCAGCGTTTTGGTTAAGATTTCTCAGAGAACGCAGTTGCCTAGTCCCTGTCCAATGTGCTATCCCTTAATCATCTCATATGTAAAGGTATGACTAACGGCGCGATTTTCTTCCGCGCCAGAGGTGGTTGCGAGCCTTTGTAGAATATAGATATGTATATAAACAATTGAGGCAATTTTCACGGCGTGTTTTACGCCCGCGGTGGTTGCAATTGTTGGACTGAAAAAAACTGCAGTCTCTTGAGTTTTGAAAATTCCGCCTCCATTCCGCCGTTGTGGCCAAATTATTCTATGCTGCCTTCACTATACAGCTTATTACCATCAGAGTGCCAAGCACGAATAACTATCGCATTCGTAACGTAATAGTATCGAGCGCGTTCGGCGTTCTGATTGGCCGGCTCAAGTGAACCAACCAATCAGAACGCTTAACTCGCTCGATACTGTTACTGTTAGTTATTCGTGTTTGGCCCTCAGATAAAAAATAATAGTAAAAACCACTTGAGTATTCGTGACCAATCGTCCCTCAAACACTTAAACCTAGATAAACAGAAAAATAATCAAAAACTATTAATAAACTGACTAAACTGAATTAGATTATACTTAGTTCATAACTACTATGGTTTTGTTTGCGAAACCATTATCATTTGTATTGATTTTCTGATTATTATCAAACGGTTGCGTTGGGCTGGCTAGATGTTGTTTCTGTGTAAACTTAGGGTCAATTCATACCAGCTCAATGAAACATTGGTCTATAATGACAGATTTTTAATTCACCCATAGTAACCTCAGAAAAATCCGTACGATAAACGGTATAGTACACTCATTGGTCCCTCCACCCTACTTTTCTCGTCTCTGACACCTGGATATAGTCCAGTCATACATAAGATTCAAGAAACGACTGAAATTTATTATTTTTACACGTTTTCCCACATAAGGATTTTCTCCTATGTCGTGGATGCGTTTACAAACATACAAGTTCACATACACATGACACCCAGACCCGAAACAACAATTTGTTGATCACACAAAGAGTTGATCCGTCCGGGAATACCCGCTACACGTTGCGAGGCAACCAGTTGCCAGCCAGTCAACGGTGCAGTCATCAATAAGTAATAACCGACTTTATTTCAAAATCTTTGGATTAAATTCGATATTCGTTGTATTGAGTTTCTGTCAAGTTTTATCTTCGACTTAGGATTGTAATAACACATCCCTATACATTTGACAGACACTGCACACTAAACAGTTTCCAGTAATGGACTATCATCATCATGATATTCCGGTTAAAATCGCACTAATACCAAAAAATAAATGAGTAGGTATCAACAGAACCCACTTTTCACTATTTATGTTATGAGTCCTATGTAATAGGGGGTGAGCCTATTGCCATATACCGGGCAAATTTCAAGACTCCGTGCTAGTACTGAGAATTTCTTAAAAATAAAAACCAGTAATACTTTGCACGACCCGGAAATCGGACCCGAAATTTGGAGATAAATAAGTTGAATTCACTCACTTAACACTTCGATGAGTTTATACTCTGTGTCAGTACGAATTAAGCCTAATGCGTTGGTAAGGTAACTAAGCCGATTAGCCCGGTACTAGTGCCTTAATGGCCGCGCTTTAGGCTTCAATCACTTGACTGGGCTTACACCTGACCCACCGTAAGAAGCCATAACCACACTATCACCCCCACACAAGGGGGGGACGAAGGCAATACTGGGTGAGTTTTTATAATAACTATCGTGAAACATACTAAATTAACTAAAAATCGCGGGGTTCTCACGTGAATATACTGAGAAAAGCTCTACTAGTTTCGAACCACAGAGGGATTCTTCCTCATGAGCAGCGTGCCCGGTTGCGGCGATGTCGCGCAGCCTAGTATTAGTACTAGAGATATTAGTACTAGGCTAGTAGTAAGCTCGTTAATACTGGACGTGTTCATCTTTGCGGCCATTTGCGAAATTATGATTATCATGCTAGATTTATGGATGTGGATAGGATGTAAGCTGTTTTTTTTATACGAAATACGGTAAACGAGCAGACGGATCACCTGATGGTAAGCAATTGGCGTCGCCCATGAACACCTGGAACACTTTTGGGGAATAGGAGATTGAGGTTCGTTGGGGATTCAGGGATTTGGGAGATTGAGGAAGGGGAGGATAATTGGGCCTCCGGTAACCTCACTCACACGACGAAACATAACGCAAGCATTGCTTCACGTCGGTTTTCTGTGAGGCTGTGGTATCACTCCGGTCGAGCCGGTGTTGTTACAATTGAGGTCCGATATCATTTAGTTTCGCCGTTTTATTTGGAATTTGGTTTATTAAAGAAATAGATATGTTTGTTTAATTAATTGATTTCAATTTAAATTACTGATGTCTCATTGGTGGCTTGTTCGTCAGCGAGTCACTGAAGAGACTGGGTTGCGCATTTTGAACTCGTCCCATTTCACCGCACCACTTTCTATATATTTTTTTTATATTTAAAGATTTAAGTAAATATGGATTATGATCGAACAATCGTGGTGACGGGAGGCTCTTACTAAGAGAAGACCACTAACTATAGTCCAACCTGTGTACTGTAGATCAACTAATCATTTCGTCAACGTCATTAACTACTAGCCATATAATATCCTTGTTCAAAATTCTTTTAGAACAATAAAATAAATTAACCCAACGTCAATAGTAGCAACTGGCGTTCCATAGTCTCTGCCTACCCCCATGGGAGACTTTTTTTATTTTTCAGGGGAGAAAATCATCCAATGTCTTCTCCCGCCCGGGTGAGGCGAGAGGGAGTGTCAGACTTTTACTAAATAAATTAACAATAAAATAAATTAACCTAACGTCAATAGTAGCAACTGGCGTTCCATAGTCTCTGTCTATCCCATGGGAGACTTTTTTTATTTTTCAGGGGAGAAAATCATCCAATGTCTTCTCCCGCCCGGGTGAGGCGAGAGGGAGTATCAGACTCTTACTGCACTTCGAGCCGGAGCCCCAGCAACCCGGGCACCCCCATGGGAGACAGGCGTGAAGTTACGTATATATGTGATCCAACCTCCTTTGTTAAAACTGACGTCAAACTGTCAGACATAAATTCAATGAAGCTATCACAGTATGTCTACGCCATGACAACAATTCCTGTCAAATAAAAAATGAAATTGACATGTATACAATGTATCAGTGAGTGAAATTATGTACATTGTAATCGAAACATACACGAACTGCTCATCATGTTACACGTAATATGGTTGGGTATGACAAAAATGATTCCATGACGTCTCAAGAAAAATTGGTAGCGGGATGCCTGTCAGGAGTAATGACAAAATGTATAACTCAGCCAATGGACGTGATTAAACTCCGGTCGCAATTGCTCAGGAAACCTAAACAGACAAATGTAACATACAGAGTGGCGAGGAGGATCTTTTGGGAAGAGGGTATCACTGCCTTCTGGCACGGCCACGTATTAGGACAGGTAATGTAAAGTTGTTAAAACTATTAATTTACATTCCGCGATAGAATTCGTTTTCTGTGTTCATAATTAAGTAACTACTTGTGTTTTCATGTTCATTTTGTTCACTTTTAAGGTCCATTCTGTGTTATCAGTAAGCAGTCAATTCTTCGTGTATGAGCTCACCACAAAATGGTCTTCCTCGTTAGCTATACCAGACACACTTAAGTAAGTTTTAAACAATACTTACCATTTAAGACGACCCATCAAAATAGAGAGTACCTGAATGTAGTCCAAGTAGTAGAAACGCAATTGGGTATCAAAATTAAAAAAATAATTAGTCCGTCAATTAGATAATTATGAATGATTAGACACGTTTTTTTTTATTTTCTCTTAAGTTGTAATACTTAAATAAAATGGCGTTTAGGAGTGGGAGGTTGTTACGTCATAACGTGCTACAAAATGTGGCACACTGTGACGTCACACGATGTTTCAAATTAATATATCATCGAAAGTATTAAAGTTTGTGAGAAAAGAAAAAATACGTGTCTAAAGTTTTAAATTGATGTACCAGACGGACATTAAAATAAACTTTAGGAAACTTCCGCATTATGTCAGTGTGCTAATTGTTGCTATCAAAATTGTAAAGGCACTTTAGAAACAACTTTTTTTTACATGCCCCATTTTCGCCAAATATATGATGGAATACCATTCAAATAATTAAGTTCTGTAAATATTTTACGTAATCCACGTATTGGTTTTAAAAGTATTACAAATATTCCTGACTGCCTCGTTAGCCGAGTGGTCGCAAGTGCCACTGCCGGGCAAGGGGTCTCGGCTTCGATTCCCGGGTCGGGCAAAGTATTACTGGGTTTTAAAAAAATCTCAGTAGTAGCACGGAGTCTGGAAATGTTCCCGGTATATGGCAATAGGCTCACCCCCTATTACATGGGACTCATCATATAAATAGTGAAAAGTGGGTGTTACATTTTACAGTGGCATAATGTGCACCTCTGCCTATGCCTTCGGGGATAAAAGGCGTGATGTTATGTTAAATATTCCTCTCAATAAATCACTACGAGGTACCAAAGCTGTCGGTTGGTTGTTGCAGGCCCGTCAAAAATTTTATTTGCGGCACCATTGCTGGTTGTGTACAAACTACCCTGGTGATACCACTGGAAGTGATCCGAGTGCGACAGATGGTGGTTAAAGACCAATACAGTAGTGTATTTAAGGGAGCACAAGCAGTGTATAGGTATGGGGGAATCAAAGCTTTCTATGAAGGTCTAAGTGCTTCATTGCTGCAGGTGAGGTCAATTAATTTTAAAAAGTCCTAGGTACTTAAAATAGTACGTACCTATGTAGGTAGGGGTTTTCAAAGGGACCACACTTTTTTATATTTGATGGGGCGACGTTTGACCACTATCTCGCCTGGTGGTAAGCGATGATGCGGTCTACGATGGAGCACGTCATCCCATAAGCAACCTATTCACTCGGCCCTTGAAGACTCCCAGACTTGTAAGTCTTCTTATGTTGTGGATGTTTAGATGCATTTCTAATAGGTTATTATCAAGTGATCCGTATGCTTGTTAACGTACACTAACAAACGTACGTTAACATACTAATAATCCATGCTGATCTCCCAAAGAGCATTATGATTGATTATATCTGCTTGCTGTAACGTCTTTACCATAAAGGCACTCGGGGCCCGTGCCCAGAGCCCCCATCTGAAGGACCGACAATGTCTACGACGGACAGACATCCTCTACACGTTGCGCGGCAACCGGCTGCTCCGCAACGTAGTGCGGGTTCGATTCCCGCACGAAGTAAATCTTTGTGTGGTTCATAAATTGTTGTTTTCGTTCTGGGCATCATATGTATGTTTGTAAATGCACCCACGGTATACGATAAGATCCTAGTATGGGGCAAGGTCTAAAAATAAAACATATTCCAAAAAGGGCGCGAATTGTTGCGTGCCTCAGGGCCCCAGCGTAGTCTAAGACGGCTCTGCCTGCTTGCTATACATAATTATAAATCAGCTACTGAAACTTATGCGAGAAGTATTACTTTATCCCTACATAGAAAACCATTCATTAGATTATGCAAAAAAAAGTCGTTGGAGTTTAAAAATAAGGTTCTTTTTTCAGATGGGACCACAATCTGGAATTTCGTTTGCAGTATTTAGTTTTGTGCAACCTCTACTTCTTAGTTTCTTCACTGTCTGCCCTCCCGAAGAGTGTAGCAAGGGCAACAAGCATAGAGCTCAAAACATTGTACTGGCTAGCAGTTTGGCTGCTTCCACCGCTGGCTTCATCTCCAAGTCGGTCACCTATCCATTGGATTTAGTTAAACGAAGATTGCAGTTTTCTGTAAGTGTTTTTCTGTTCCATACACCATAATGCCTAGTCCCCCTATTTCTACATCCAGACTCTACTGGGCTACTTCTAATGTTTCATCAGCCATGAAAGGAAAGGTTTATTATCCCATCCCATTATCCCCACGTTCAAACTCAAATTTAAAAGCATTTATTTCAATTTAACTATAATTTGGTAAACTGACTTTTAGTCTGTCCGTCAGTGAAGCTAGGCGCTCGTACCAAAATGTAGATTCGAGTGGAAAAAAAACGATCAAGAAACTCCATTAGTTACTCTTTTAAATTCTATTTTACAACATCTCCTATACATATTCCAATATTGTACATGTATATGAGAACAATGTAAAGACACGCTTGACGCATAATACAGACTACAGAAGTTACTAAAATGAAAAACAAAACAAAAAGAAAAGAAATATCTTATAGTCTTACATGGTGCTCACACATGTATACTGACAATATAAAATAGTGCAAACAAAATAAATAAACTCCTTGTTTCAATAAAGTTGTAACGTGGGTGTGTGCGGTGTTCGGTGTCTGGATCGATGTTAATTTACCAATAATTAAAATGATGATCGGCCATCTTAATGTCATCGATACTAATGGATGAATGAAATCCTTATGCGAACCCACGTGATTTATATAGGTATTAATGTTCAAACGGTGGTGTGAAAACGATGTTAACTCTAGCCAGTATTTTAACCTGTTAACTACAGTATAGTTATCATAACTGTCATTCAACAGCTAACAGTTATCGTGGTGAGGAAGTTCCGATGTCCGTCAGTTTCGCAAACTAAACATAATGTTTGTGTGACTGTCGGCGCGTTATTACATCTGAGTATATGAGTTACATCATTAGTTCCTGATTGAGTAAAAAAGTATCTAATAGTTTCTAGTAATGCGAGGAAATGACTGTTTGTCGGTGGAAAACTTGATTATGTAGTGTATCCAGTACGCAGGTCGCCTCAAACCGATCTGGAAGCCATTTGAGAAAGCCTATATTCAGTGGCGTCCATCTTGCTACTGATATGATCTTGAAGTGCACCACGACGAAATGATCTATAAGTAATCATCATCGTCATTAACAGCCTATTAGTGGCCAAAGCTGACCAAAGGCCTCTTGTCAAACGGAGAAGACTTAGCATATTATTATTTAGCATATTATTCACCACGCTTGCTCAATGCGTGTTGGCGATCATAAACTTATTATAAGCAATTTCAAAAATCCAAGTTTCCTCACGATGTTTTCCTTCATTGTTTGCCAGTGGTGTATAAATAATCTTAGAAAGTATATATAACTCGGAAAATGTCACATATTCATATTCATTTATTTGCGTACCATAAAGTGAATAAAGTATTATAATAGGCTTAAAGCTAAGTACATTTATGGATCCTGTAAGGGCACAGCAACATTTGTTAAGATAAAGCTTTAACATTGATACTTGCTGTTGGTAGGTTTCGAACCTTCATGCATGAGAAGGCGTCTTCAGACCTCCGAGCTACCACGACACGACGCCCTATAAGTAATGTTGTTGAGTGATATTTTCAATCCGAATTCTTGTTTCAGTCTCACAAGCACAATCAAAAATACAAAACGCCAACTCAAGCTCAGCAGTTAATCAAATGCAAAAGATTATATAAGTGTCTCATACATGCTTACAAAAGAGAAGGGTTTAGAGGACTGTTTAGGGGGTGGACAGTAACCGTTTACAAAGCCCAAATGACCAGTGTATTTGCTTTCACATCGTACGAAATAATTTGTTACACTTTCAGAGAGCTAAAATCAATAACTCTCTAATCGAGAGTCGTGTGTTGTCTGTCATAGTCTGATTTTGTGGTTTGTAAGGTCTCCTTGTACGGTCTTCGATTAATGAAATATATGCTGAGGTCTCTGAGTGTGTCTCAAAGATGTGTGCTGTGAAGAGTATGTTACCTACTTTTATTTAGTTTTTTATTACATGTAAGTTTGTTTGCTAGTAAGTTTATTGAATAACAAAACTTTACATGTCCTTACTTTTTGATTATATAAAACCTTCTGGTTAAACCTATTGAGATATATTTTGTACGTTGCGAAAAAAATATATGTATAATATACTCATGCTTTTTAATCAATATATTTACTAAACTTTTATTTTGTTTGTATTTGATTAGTTGAATACAGTTCAGTATATATTTATTTGATGTTTTTCTTTCATAGTGCATTTTTGTCACAAGTAGGTAAGAACTATCAATAACTAGCTTCTGCCCGCGACTTCGTACGCGTAATCCCATTTTTTCCCGTCCCCGTTCGTGATTTTCGGTAAAAAGTAAAAAAAAAAATGTTGATCAAAATACTTTTTGATACAGGATACTTCCTATGTCGGTCTCCTGGCTCTAAGCTACCTCCCTACCAATTTTCAGCCAAATCTGTTCTGCCATTCTTGAGTTAGAAGTGGTGTAACTAACACGACTTTCTTTTATATATATAGATATTGAGGAGTTAATTTATTTGAACATGGTCATCTCCGGAACGGCTTGTCCGAAGTGATTGTTTTGTGTTGGATAGTTCGAACGTAAATCATCATACTATGACCAATAGGAGTTCAGCAGCGGGAGTATCTTTGCATGTTTAGCTCGTTGAGTACCGTCATTATAGACACAATTATAGAACAATAGGTTGCGGTCACCGGTGACCGCTCGGTGTTTGACAGTTTAAGATATTTACACAGGGTGGTGAAATAAAATTTCATATTTTCGTAAAAAAATTAAAACACATCTTTTTTATTTTCTTTGGTTCTTACATAATAAAATTGTTAACATCTATGGTAACTATATAAAACACAGGCTCTGTTTGTTTGTTTGTTTGACACAATTTTGTTTGAGATTTTCTTAGTCTATTTGTAATACTTTTTAAACAATTATGTATGTACAATAATTTACATTTAAAACAAGAAAAGAGATAGGAAACAGTTTTTTTTGAAAGTTAGCAAGTAAAAATTGTTATTCGATCTCATGTTTTGTCTCTTTCATTCAAACTGAATTAGTAATTAGAAAGAAATTGACAAAACAACCCAAAAGGTTTTTAAAACTTGCAATGGTTGTCTGGAGAAAATACATTCAGCATACACTTAGTTATAGTGACGTTGTTCCGAGGTTTTTTGTGATATTCTTTACCTCAGTAGTATTCTAAGCCTTAGAAGGAAGTTTTGTCCGGTAGTAGCCCTTAAAAGCTGATATTAACTTTGCGAGAGCGGTTACCATGTCTTGAAGAATAGATGACATTAAACAGCACGATTTTAAAACAATCCTTTTTAGCTTGTTTCAATATAAAATGATGTCACATAACATAATGCATGCTAAGCATAAATTCCATTTCCTCCCAATTGGGTTCGGGATAACTTCGGAAAAGTTCGGGATGATGAATCGGGATTCATGATTTCGTGTGACTTCGTATTCTTGGCGGCCGATGTGTGGTTTCTTAACCTAAAAATCCTGAGAACAAAAGGAGTAAATTAATATTGTGTTAACAGGCGATTATAATCCTTAAGGAGACTAGAATAATAACTGGGTATCTTTGATCTTTAACAACTTTAATATAAAAATCCGTGACATAAAAAGCTATAGTGTAAAATGCTGAATCAAGATTTGAACTATGTAAACCCATTTCGAACTCTATGATATGATTATTGAGGTAACTTATCCTATAACTTAGTCTTGATATTCATAACTATTCAAATTCACAAATATTCAAAATAGTATATAAGTTTATTTGTCCAAAATCAAGAGCTCAATGCAAGTACCATAGTTAAACATACTGTATTTGTAATGCCTATACAATACATTTTATTTAAATCTAGTTACAAAAAAATCAATTTCATTCAGACTATAATAATTAGTAAAGAGTAAAAAATAGACAACAAACCTTAAACTAAAAAAAGTGAAGTCCATCAGTTCCAGCCGTGCGACAACGACTCGCCCTCCCATCCATGATGCTCCTCGTGCACTGGCAGGTACACCTTCTTCTCAACCTCGACGTGCTTCACCACAGGGACAGGTACATGCTTGTACACCGGCACAGGGACGTGCTGGATGATGGGCACCTCCTTAATCACCGGGACTTCTTTCACGACCGGGACATGCACGGGAACGTGCACTTTGGAGACGTGATGGTGATGGATGGTGTGCACCTTGTATGGCACGTGGATGGTCACGTGTTTGTGGCTGGAATTGAAAATTTTCGGGTTAATAATGGTGATAAAGAAACAAGATGTGACATTGTCTATGTGTTTGCAAAAGAACTCATGATACGAAGATACTAGCAAAGAAGACATCGATTTTGTTCGCTTTTCAGATAACCTAAGTGGTTCATGGAATAGAAGTGCCTTACTCAATGTTTCCTTTACGAGTTTCAATATGAATCAGTATTAAAGAGTGACAAAAGAAAAATTCTTATTACCACGGTCTTAAAGTTGCAAATGGCAAAACAAATAGTGCAATAATGCACTCGGGGTATGCATTACACCCGTAACAACAACAGCCCTTTGCTAATAACTAGGAATCGGTTTCCCGTATCTAATTATCTTCTACCTGATAGGCACTCAGTAATGTGGGGTGTAATTAGAATTCAAGTATGGTATATCTGATTAATTAAGTTCTGATATTGCGGTGGGATACTTCCCCTATACTTATTATACTCTTTGGGTGGGATACCTAACCCTGTGATAATGAGGTAGGGTTAGTTATTATTTGGACCTACCATAGGCTCATTAATGCCCCTACTATTGGAAAGGTAAAATATGTTTTGCGCACTTAATTTATAGAGGATGAGTCTAACTTCCAACTAGGAGAACATAAAAGAAAAGAAGGTAGCAAATTTATAATGGAAATCAAAAGAAAATGTTCTACAATAACCTACTAGTATTCTATGCAAGTAAAAAAAGAACGTGCTGTGCTAAATCCATAAAAATACAATGTCAAAAGACAAAATAAACACCGGAATCTAATTCCATACAAGTAAAGACGACGACACACGAGCGGCATAAAATTCACAGGAAAAAAGTCGTTGCAACACAGAAATTAATTCATGATGCGACAGGTCGCGGCAGATTAACAAATCGCACGCGCGATGTCTGGTCATCGGTGCTTACAAATCGCGCACTTTCCCTATACTTGCTTACTAGCAAAGTGGATAATGCGAGAGAAACGCACAATTTGTGATGCAACCAGTAATTGGACTGCGACGACTTTGCTCATGTGACGTAAATGTGCATCTGGGTTTATTACGCGAACACATCGCAAGGTGACTTAAGTAAGTGATCGCGGGGCTGTACAGCAGGTTGTTCTTAATTTTTATGTGTTGTTTTGTAATTTCGTTCATTAATAAAACATTACATCGTACTACTGGGCACTTTACGGTTTTTTGTTACCTAGAAAGTTCCACGTAGGAACCTATTATACAATCTAGATAGGTTATATTATACAATATACGTAGGTATCTACATTGATAGAAACCTACATCTGGTTTTCATCGGATATGTTAAGAGTTCATATGCTCTTAAACACGGATTCTCATCGAGATTTTTTATAATTGCGACATATAATTCGTAATCTCATGCACAACTCTCATAATTAGATCAAACCATCAGATGAATCTACAGAAATTTCCAAAGTACGAATTACAATAACAATAGCGTTCATTTCATATCTTGATTCGAAACAAAACAAAACGAAATAAGTTATTAGAGTAGGCACAACAGTGCGTGGCGTAATATACATAACAATTACATCTCAGTCCGCTACAGTAGAGTAACACCTCTAATTTGTACGCAAACAGTAATTTAGAAGTATTATAGATACAATAACAAAAGTAAGTGACTATTTAGTTCATAAGCAATAGATCAAGTATAAGCAATAGACAACCAAAAATGTCCGCAACATTGTCAGAAGATATATAAAGAGACACTTTTAGGCTATAATTAGTCTATGCAACCTAGAACTTGAGATATTAAGAGCCCACTAAGAAATTACTCATGCGACAAAAACCAGACAGTAACGGTTTCTGATCACTTAAACACCCTTTTAAACTTAGATCATGGCTACCAAGCATAGAGATTATGGCTATGACAAAGTCTGTTCTCATACAGAGGAGGTCGTTAGTCTCATCAGAGGACTGTCTCGAGCTATCGATGATGATGATGAATTTAAGAAGTTAACGTTTAATTAATATAAGAAGAATGTCGAATAATCCAGAATATTCTACCATCAACATTTACTAAAAAATCTACTAGACATTGCTTAGTATTGCGATTATAATCTAGGTGTCTTGGCAAAAGCGCTAACTAACAAATATATAATATTAAAATTACGAAAGCCATATAACTAGGAATGAGTAGTAATGTATAATATTTTACAACGAAAGTTGTCTATCGTAATATTTACACAAGTTCTTGTGCTTGTCAAACTAGATCGTAAATAAATGCGAAATGTCTAGTAATAAAGTACATAAATCTGGCTAATCCAAAATTATTGCAATAATAGTTATGTTATTTGCAGTGGCTACCTTGGGTCAACCTACTGGGGCTCCGAGTCTGTGCAGGTTTAAGTATGAGGTGGGTTAAGTCAGTAAGTGTCTGACACTCCCTTTCACCCCAACCGAGGCAGGATGTAATGTGAGGATTTTCACCAAAAAATGTAGTATGTTCTTTTATTTATTGCCTATAGAGGTTAGAGTTTTTTTGGAAACGTTGCCCCACACTAGGATTATCTCCTGTGTCGTGGATGCGTTTACAAATATACAAGTTCACATACACATGACTCCCA